AGTCCTTCTTACTTTTCACAAACCTGAAAAGCTGATTCAGATGACAGAAAGTTTTCTGCAGGCTCTGCTACGTTACAGTACATAGATGATTTCATTCTCAGCTCCCCTTCTCAAATCTCTTCACAGGAAACAGCATCCACCTGTTAAAACTTTCGGCCTTAAAGGGACATGGTCTCCAAAGAAAAACCCTCAGGTTAGATAGTCATGACATTCCATCTCAAATCAAGGACCGCATTTGGATCCAGATGAAAGCCCCCACAGATCACATGTTGACTCCTTGTGGCAATTTACAGGAAATTCCTCTAATGCAGGTTTTTCATGGTTTACTGGTGGTTCTCATTTAACAGATGACATTGGTAAATATCATGTTGGGTGTGCTATTACAACTCCTCTGTGAAGTCGGGACTCACCTTTCTTTTGGCTACTTCAGCCCAACAGACTATGTTAGATGCCCTTATTTGAGCTGGTACTGCAAACACTGCAAACATTTAAGCCCATGGCTGTCATGCTTTGGGGGGTAATTCATGATTCTGGAATACTATGGAAACAATGAATGTCCTTACCTCCAATGAGGCTAAAGTTTAAAATGGCTCCTATGTGCAAAATTTATTAAATGCCATACTTTTGCTAGTGGCTCTGGTTATTTTTAAGGTTCCTGGGCATTCCAGACTCAACTCCCTGGAGGCTGAAGAAAACCACCTCAGTGATATTTCTACCAAAACAAAACAAAATAAAACAAAACAAAAAAACGCTGCTCCCAAGGAGACCAATAGCCAAATCTCTGCCAAAGGATGTTCTCCCACATGATAATGTGGAAAAATTGACCGGAAATGCCCACCCATTGATCCCAGAGGGGGGAAAATAAGATTGGAAATCTAATATTTGTTGCTTTGTTAGAGAGAACTTGGGGCGCCTGGGTGGCTCAGTCATTAAGCATCTGCCTTCAGCTCAGGTCATGATCTCAGGGTCCTGGGATCGAGCCCCGCACCGGGCTCCCTGCTCAGCGGGAAGCCTGCTTCTCCCTCTCCCACTCCCCTTGCTTGTGTTCCCTCTCTCGCTGTGTCTCTCTCTGTCAAATAAATTAAAAAATCCTAAAAAAAAGAGAGAGAGAGAGAGAAAACTCTGGTTTGGACCAAATAATAATCCGACCCTACCAGAAATTCTAAAATTCCCACTACTCCCACTGTACAAGCATTTAACCTACTGACAAAATGATAGCATTCGTGAACCAACATTGGTGGAGAAATATTAATAAGGCACAAAAAGTGCCTACCTTGCTTGTCCTGCCTGTCTGACATACAATGCACAGAATTCGCATTCACACAAATGGAACTCAGAGATTCCCCATCCCATGGAGATAAATATGTTTTAGTCACAGTTTGCATGTTTTCTCTTGTGGACAGGCCACTGCTTCTTTTGTGGCTAGAAATCTGTTAGAAAAGATTATCCCTACCTGGGAACCCTTCTCAAACTCACAGTGGCCAGGGAACCCGTTTTACTCGTCAGATGCTTTGACAGGTCTGTGCTGTTCAGATGGTTTTCCAGGATTTCCGTGGTGCGTACCATCCTCAATCCTCAGAGCTTCTCGAATGCACAAACAGCACTATTAAGACTCAACTGGCACAATTTGTAGAGACCCTCCAAATGCCTTGGCTGAAAGAACTTTGGGTTCACTCCCTTGGGAACTCATACCCTCTCCCCCTGCGAGGTAGTCACAGGACGTCCCAATGCACTTGGCCCTCTCCCTCTCACCCACAGTCGGTAAGAGGAGATATAGATCTCAATGCTGTAAAGGCCTAATTGCTTCTATTAAAAATAACCATGCTGGGCGCCTGGCTGGCTCAGTTGGTTGGGCAACTGCCTTCGGCTCAGGTCATGATCCTGGAGTCCCGGGATCGAGTCCCGCATCGGGCTCCCTGCTCGGCGGGGGGTCTGCTTCTCCCTCTGACCCTCCCCCCTCTCATGTGCACTCTCTCTCTCTCATTCTCGCTCTCTCAAATAAATAAATAAATAAATGTTTAAAAAAAATAACCATGCTTTGGTAGAGCAATCTTTTCACCGTGTGCTCCCAGGAGGCAATGAGGGGACAATGACCTTAAGTAATCATATCTTGCAAACCGGAGATTTCGTTTATGGGAAAAGACACCTCCAGAAAGACTCTCTTCAACCTCACTGGAAAGGCCCTTATCAGGAACTTTGAACCAACCTTGTGCCACCAAACTCCAGGGACGAGACTCTCGGATTCACGTGACACGTCTGAAGAAAGCACTGAACCCTGACTGGCCCTGCACGCCATCTGGTGACCTGAAAGTCATGATTTCCTGGGGGGCACCTGGCGGGCTGTCGGTGAAGCGTCTGCCTTTGGCTCAGGTCATGATCTCGGGGTCCTGGGATCGGGGTCCTGGGATCAGGGTTCTGGGATCAAGCCCCATGTGGGGCTCCCTGCTCAGTGGGGAGTCTGCTTGTCCCTCTCCCTCGGCTCCCTGCCCCCCACTGGTGTGCTCTCTTTCAAATAAATGAAATCTTAAAAATAAAAAGATTTCCTGGAATGGCAGCGGAAGACCTCTGACCAGACACTTTCCCAAGGGTGTCCAGACAGGCCTGTGTACACTTTCTCACTGCTGCTTCTTCTCTCTCATGGAAAGACAATGTCCTTGTCTGCATTTCCCAAACCCCTGAGAAAGAGAAAACCCTTTTTGATTATGGCCTTTTGGAAACAGCCTCATGATCCTGTAACAAATTAATTTTTTCAGTTGTTTTTTCTGAATAGTTAGAAGTTTCAGAATTCACAAGTCTTTCTTTCCTCTGAACTAGCGTCTGGCTCTGGAGTCCTATCCCAATTCACGGCCTCTGAATTTGCACCTTACAGGCTGTCTTATTGGATAACATTTGTTTCCAAACAGTTCTTTTGAGATAACAACACAGTTTTAATAGATCTTTGAAATTTTACTATTTTCCCAAAAAGCTCACCAGCTATTGCTTCATGTTCATACCCGCACTGTATCTCCCCAAAATGCACCTGAGTAATGCTTTCCGTGTTCTCTTGCTGTATTCACTATTTGCTTTCATGGCTGCTACAAGTGGAGACTTCCAGGAGGCATGTGTGACTCCTGGTTTGCCTTTGTGGGGAGAACCCTTCTCCCGTAAGTCAGAATAAGTGCCAACCTAGAGTCCTGGTTTAGCACCTTCACACAGTTTGGAATTGTAGTGTTACTTCGGTTTTGGGTGATTAAGTTTTGAATTTTGTTGCCTGTCAAACTTTTGTAAAAATGATGTACTCAATACATGATCTCCAATGCTTATGATCCTGGTAAATATGGACTAGAGATAGGAAGTGCCCTGGAGGTCTCCCTCCTGACCTTCCTTGTTACTCAAATGTGTCCTTAAGTGCTTTCTGGCTGCTGTGCACTTTCCCTCCAACATGCAACATGACAACCAGGAAAGATCCTTCTTGGCACCGAGAGACAAAAGCACTAAATACTGAAAACCTGACTCTTGACCAGGATGCTTTCAAAGAATGATCCTGATCAAAAGAGGGAAATGTGAAAATTAATATAAGGAAACCTCGTGTGGAATGGAGTCAGGAGGCCAGCGCCTAGCACTAGCGGTCAACCACAAAGCCAACAGGTGGATTTACAACCCCAGCGGGAGGAAGCAAGATTTTCTCTTCCTGGGGCAACAGCCCAGCCAATGAGAAGCTACTATACTTCCAATTCTCAGTCTATTCCAATGGGTTTTTCGTTTATAACAGCCCCCTCCCCCAACTCTTCCCCTTCCTGTATAAAAAAACTGTCCTCCCCTCTGTTCCCAGGACTTGCCTTTGGTTTTCTTGTGGCTGGTTTGTCCTAGGTTGTTATTCCAGAATAAACCATTTTGCTTGCAAAATAACTGACAGTTTTATTTTTAGGATCGACAATTTATACACATACATATATATTAGTGACAGCTTTTTTTGAGGTGTAATTCGCATACCACAAAATTCACCCATTTAGAGTTGAGTATATTTTAGTATATTCACAGATGTATACAACCATCACCACAGTCAATTTTAGAATATTTTCATGATCTGGAAAAGAAACCGATTACCCTTTAGCAATCACCCCCTTCCGTGCCCCATTCAGTTTCCCAACCTGTGGTGACCATTAATCTTTCTGTCTCTATGGATTTGCCTATTCTGGGCATTTCGTGTAAACGGATCATATATATATTTTTTGTGACTGGCTTCTTCCACTGAGCATCATGTTTTCAAAGTCCACCCATGTTATAGCAGGTGTCAGAACTTCATTCTCCTTTCAGGGCCACATAACTTTCCATTGTATGGATAGACCACGTTTTTGTATCCATTCACCAGTAGGCGGACGTTAGGTTGCTTCCCCCTTTGGCTATGACGAGGAATTTTGCGATGAAAACTAGGTACTGTTCTGTGAGGGCACATTCTATCTTCTCTGGGGTTGTACCTCTAGGAGTGGAAGTGCTGGGTCACATGGTAACTCCACACTTAACCCTTTGAGGAGCTGCCACTGTTTTTCAAAGTGGCTCAGGGATAAATTGGGGGGGGGGCTGATTTTATTAACAATTTGAGTCAACCCAAATCCGGGAGTCCACACCATTCTGCCGGTGAAGACCCCGGGAGAGACCAGTCTGCCGGCCGGCGGACCCTGCTGCCTAGAGTCCCGAGCTGCGGGCGGCTGCTGGCGGCTCGCACGTGGGGGCACAGGGTGGGGAGGTGCCCCAGAGGAACACGGGCGCGACCGCGCGGGGGCTAGAAAGGGGCGAAAGCGTGGAAGAGCTCGGGTTCGGCCCCCTGGACAGGAAAGTCTGGAGCAGCCCCTACGCGGGGCCCCGGGGAGAGGCCACCTCACCACGCCAGCCGGTTCCGGCTTCCTAGCAACCAGGAGGCATCCTTCCCAGCAAGCACTGCTTCTGACCCGCGGCATCGGAAACTACGAGGCCCAGCGTGCCCCGCGGCCCAGGAGCGCGGACTACAAGTCCCACAATGCACAGCCCACCTTTTCCAAACCGCCCCCCGCCCCTGCTCTCCCTAGACCCCGCCGAGGCAGCGCCGCGACCCCTTCCCGGCGCTCCCCGCGCCGTGCGCAGCGCGCCCTCGCGGTGACCCGCAGTGCGTGGGGTCAAGGCGCGGGGCGGAGCGGCTGGGCGGGCGCCATGCGGAGGTGCGAGCGCAGAGGCGCCGGGGGGCCGCGGCCGGGGTCCCCTGTGCCCGCGGCCAAGGCCTCGCTGGAGGAGCCGCCGGACGGCGTGGCCACGGGTCGAGCAAGCGGGCCGGGCGCGGGCCGTCGCAGCACGGAGTCCGAGGTCTACGACGACGGCACCAACACCTTCTTCTGGTGAGGGGCGGGGGGGCCCCCGGGGTCGTGAGGGGCGTGGGCGCATGGTGCTGGGGTGGAGGGACGCCCGCGAGAGCCCGGGACGGCCCCTGCCCAGCCCCGCCGCGGCCGGCCTCCCGCGGTGGTCCAGCCCCGCGTCTCTGGCCCCTGCCCCCTATCTCGGGAGGACTAGGCTCTAAAATCACGTCGGAAAGCTCTTCCTGATTTCCCTGTCCAAAATTCACCTGTGCCCGCTGTCACGTTCCCTCTTTTCTAGCGTCTGCTGCTCGTGTTTATGAAACGGTCTGCACCGCCGAGCACGTAGCAGTGACGTTCAGTAGCGCGAACACCTTACCACGTGCCGGGAGTTGGGCGGGTGTTTGTCAAATACAGCTTCGGTCTCTTTTCGGTTGCTGCTTGCGGAGCCAGCTCTTCGAGCCCTGCACAACTGAGTCCAAGCCAGCCTCGGGGTCAGGGTGTCCCCCAGGCTGTCTTAATGGGTGTCGGGGAGGGAGAGGCCCCCAGGAGCAGTTCCTGCCCTCCCAGAGCCTGCGTTGGAAGACTTCTTGCTCTTGCTTTATGCTGAGTTTGGCACTTCTGTATTTGAGGTTCCAGGCGTGGCTCCTACGCCAGAGGGCTCTGTGACCTTGGGGTAGCCCTTCACCTTTCCGAGCCTATTTTCTCTCCTTGGTAAGAGAGAGAAACCCCAGGACTAGAAAGCATGCTTCGTGAGGGTTGGGGTTTGGTTTTTCTTCACTGGATGCTCAGTTCCTGCCCAGCTAAACAGTACAGTGCCAACATTTGAGACCTGTGGTCGGCCCTGGAGGGACAGAGTGAAGTAGATGTGGCCACCAGCTGCAAAGGAGGTAATGCCACCTGGAAGCACCTTTTCAGAGAACCCAACTGTGGGATTGTTACGGAAGATCTGATCAGGGAAGGAGGAGAGCCTGACAGGGGAGTAAATTGCCTGTTTCAGGGGAAGGTGTTGCTCCATGATAGAAGCCGTGGAGGAGGTGCACATTGGGCTGAATGGGTGTCCTGGTTTTTATCAGACTCAGGAGATGTGCAGGGAGAGGGGTGTTCATAGGGGTACAGTTCTGCATCTGGACGAAATTGGCGTCTTCCGTCTGGGTGCCCACAGCTGCTGCACAGGGACAGCTACGAGCCCTGCCCTGGGGACATAATGCATTCAGGTGCGTGAGCCAGTGGGGTGGAGAGAGGGACAGCATGCCCTCTCAAGGGAGCTCTGGCCCCTGAGTGCCTGGAGCACTCTTGGACCCTGCTAGACCTGCCACGTGCAGATCAGGCCTCTCCACCAGCATGCCCCTTCAGACTGCAGGAGGGAGGATACCATCCTGAAATGTGGCTGTGCTTTTTTCCTGTTTCCTGTTCATTCACATATTTTGGGGGCCCCATCTGGGTGCCAGGTACTATTCTGCAGATTTCAGCAGAGAACTCAACAAGAAGCTTGGGTTCTGGCATAAGCCTGGAGCTTCAGGAGGCACGAAATGTCCTGGCTGAAGGGATGCTGAGGGTTGCAGCACCAGCAGAAGCCAGGGAGAACACATCTCACCAGTGCAGTGAAAGGCGTGTGTTGATTGCTTTAGAAGCACAGACCAGCACCCACCCCTCTCAGGTCCTGCCCACAGGGGTGCTTGGTCAGTTGGGAGTTGGACACACAGATACCTGCTATAGCTGAGCTTACCTATGAGGAGGACTGGTGGGAACCAGGAAGGCTTTCCAGGAGGGAGTGTGACGGGGCTGGCAGGTTTCAGGTACCTGCCTGGTGGGTCTCCTGGTGGATGGCTCATGCCTCCCCACCAGAGGTGTGACGTGTGCTGTGCCCTGACGCTGGTTGGTGATACGGTCTGTGGTCTCTGCAGGTTCCTGCTGCATCCCAGGCCTCCCCCTCACCTGTGTAGGGGAAGGAGCTTCACATTTCCTCAAGGCAGGTAACCAGATGCCTGCTTGGTGAGAACTACTTCTTACCTGCAGAGCTTAGCCACTTGCCTCCTTCTGAATCTCTTCTCACTGACTTGCTGTGTTAGGGTTTAAAAAACTTTTATTTTGTGTTTAGAGAATTTTAATAATGAATGTTTAAAATTCCTGTAAAGACTAAAAGTACATATTTGTGGAAATTATTTTGTGTTCCAGAATTACTCAAAGGAACTTTTGTACGATTCAAAACCTTATTTTTAGGGTTTTCACGAAAGGTGCCCCATGCTGGTGGTTATACTGGGCCATGTAGGACTTGAGTGTCTTTGTTATCACTTGTCAGCCACAGGGTATGTAATTAGGGTTCAGGGTTTGCCTGTGCCTTGGAGCTTGAAGCTGTGCTCCCAGAAATCAGGCCCAAGGGAGGGGGTGTGAGGCCTACTGGGGTCTGCAGTGGCAAGAACACCACCTCTTCTACTAGTGTGTGGTCTCCAGTGTGGGACATCCGGGCACAGTGTAGAACCATAGACTCAGAGGAATGACACAGAGACGTGTTAACTCTCATTTTCTAAAGATGGTTTAGGAGACACTTAGATGTCCTAAAGAGGTGCTACCGAATGTTGCCACTTGGAGATGGAAGCTGGGTGAATTGCCGTTGGATTACCACACTCCCTAACCAGCTCCTAAGGCAGGAGGGGAGGGATGGTTGTGATGTTCTGGGAGTGCATGCGTCTTATGCTGCCGAGCCTTGGGTGAGCACTGTTAGTGATCCCCAGGACTCTGCTGTGGTAACCACAAGAGCATGCGGAGGGGATGTAAATGCCCCAGGTTCTGGAAAATGCCTTTCTCAGTCATGGTGGGGCAGGGGTTTACCAGCTTTGCCCACATCTGGGAAACTTGACTCAGCAGCTGATGCCTTTTTGGTCATGTTGGCCAGCAGGCGGGGCGGGGGGGGGTCACTGTCATGGCCTAAAGCACTTCTGGCGTGCCTAGGGCAGGCCCTCTGGCCTTGGCCTTTCCTGGCCGAGGCTTCCTTGTGCTCTCAGTGTGCCAGCCACGCTCTCATGTTTTCTCTAATCGGTTTAGTGGGCCTGTCTTTCTGCCCACTTGGCATAATGAGTGTGGTCATCTCTAGGGAGGGACCGACATCTGGGTATTTCCCACTCATAGTGGCAGGGAGCCGGCTGTCCGCACGCCCTTGCCATTGCTGACTGGAGAGTCACAGGGTTTACGGCTGCTCTTGTCCTGTGCCTGGGTCACAGCACCCGAACCCCCCCTGAGTTACCTGTCAGCCACTAAACCAAAAGAGGCACTTGTCTTCCCAGGCACCAGGGAGGTTGAGCAATGAGGCGTCTGGAAAGGGTAGGGAGGTCTGCCTGTGGAGTGTTGGGTGCGGCCTGAGCGGCCCTCGTTATTTCCACACATGTGGAAATGGTGCTGTGTGCAAGACAAGGGAGTCATTTTTGGCTTTGGTTTTGTTTGCCAAACTTACAAGGTAATATTTTTATTTTCTACACCAAACTTGCAAGTCAGTATTTCTATTCTCATTTTGAAGATGGGGAAATTAAACCTGAAAGATGAAGAAAGTTACTCAAGACCACAAGTGTACTAAGTTGCAAATCTGACAATAAAATCCATACTTTTGCGGGGTTGGGGGGGACTTTTCCCACTATGTCCCATGGCCTCTCCAAGGAAAAATGTCAAAGTGGAAAACGTAAACTTTACAGTGAAAAATCGAAGGAAAGCACAGGCCATGGATTGAGCAATGGTCTCAAAATTAGAATTAACAGAGTTATGTCTCCTGGATGCTGCCCTGGGACTTGTGTTGCCACAAGCTGCCTGTTAAAAGTGCTCTGTCAAGGATCGAGCCCTGACCATGCAAACACTACTTCATTTTAATGATAGCAGGTAGTCGGCACCTACAGTTCTGCCCTTAAAGAACTGGGCTGGGGCACCTGGGTGGCTCAGTCGGTTAAGCCTTCGGCTCAGGTCACGATCCCAGGGTTCCTGGGATCAAGCCCCACGTTGGGCTCCTTGTTCAGCGCGGAGCCTGCTTCTCCCTCTCTGTCCCCCGGGTTCTTGACTGTCTGCCTCCTTCCTGCCTCGGATGGGACAGAGGAAGTCCTACTGATTCCTAATTCTGCTTCTGCAGGGTGAGGGGTGACCGCCTGAATGACAGTGTGAACATTGATCCCAAGGGACAAATAGTTGTTTTTATTTCTCAGATAATCCTTGTGTTTTTAGGAGGATGGAAAGATATATGACCAGAGCTGCCCCAGGCTCTTCAGGGAATGTGTTTTAGCCCAAAGAAACTACAGGAAGATTACAGTGTTTGTGGAAAGTAATATGAAAGAAACCAGAGGGTTGAAGTCATTTTTTAAGACCCAGGACAGGTGCGCCTGGGTGGCTCAATCACTTAAGTGTCTAACTCTTGATTTCAGCTCAAGTCTTAATCTCAGGGAAGTTCAGGCCCTCCTCCATATGGAGCCTACTTTAAAAAAAAAAGACCCCGGGGGCGCCTGGGTGGCTCAGTTGGTTAAGCAACTGCCTTCGGCTCAGGTCATGATCCTGGAGTCCTGGGATCGAGTCCCACATCGGCTCCCTGCTCAGCAGGGAGTCTGCTTCTCCTTCTGACCCTCCCCCTTCTCATGTGCTCTCTGTCTCTCATTCTCTCTCTCTCAAATATAATGAATAAAATCTTTAAAAAAAAAAAAGACCCGGGACAAAAGGCTTTCACATTTTAATTTTAGCCCCTGTGCTCCAGACATGCGGTCCTGACAGGATACCTGCAGGGGTGCCTCTTGTGCTGTGTGTGTCTTAGATCCTTCGCAGGACCCAGTGGAGGGGTGGCAGGGTGCCCGAGGGACTGTGGGGGATTGGCCCATGCACAGCACCTTGGCGTGCTGGTGTCCCTGAAGCAGCGTGGACGGGTCCTGAGCCACATAGCGGCAATGAGGTGTTCCCTTTGCCTTGTGGTCTCTTCCAGAACATGTGGTCACCTCTCCTCAAATTGACTAGCTTCTTTTTTCTTCTGTGAGTCTGATGCCCGTTTGTGGGCTGTTACCTGTTTTACTCTCCTTCCTCCCTTAGGCTGGGGCTTCTTCCCATGTTTTCTCATAGACACTTGCCCTGCTGAGAACTCTCTGGGCCAGGTGGCTGTGCAGTCCCACAGCTGGGCCTCTGGGACAGTGGTCCCATCTCTTTCCTGGGCAGATGCCTCTGCCGGATGTTCCTGTGCACCCTGCATACTGTTGGTAAGCCTGCCATGGGCACTTTGCCCTGCCTGGTGGCCTCGAGTCCCCGGACCTGTCCCTCCCTTAGAGTCCTCGGCTGGGGAAGCCCTTGGAGAGGAGGCTGATCACAGCTCTCAGCACTTATCCTTTGTCAAGGGTCACTTCAGAAAAGTGCGCCCTTTCCAGAAAACCGTTGTTTCTTGGAACTGCTGGGGATGGGAATTGGGTTCTTGCTCTGAGCTGGTCTCTGGGTCATGCCTTCTCAGAGGTGCGTGGGACTGGCATTCTGCTCAGGGGCTCTCCCAGCACACTTCCCTGGATCCTGACCTTGTACCAGAAATGGTCGATACATAACAATTTAGAGATTTTTACTAGTTTCTTTTCTAAGTTACCTACAGTAAATCTGATTTTGTAGGGTGCACAGTTCCATAGCTTCTGTGCACGCAGGTTTCTGTAACCACCGGCACAGGCAGGGCATGGAACACGACCTTACCTCGGCCTCTGGCCTGGTCTCTGTCATCGTAGTTTGGCCTCTGGAGAGTGCCATGTAAATGGGGTCACGTGGCGCATGAGTTCTGGAGACCAGCTCTCACCTACGTGCCTGAGACTCCTCACAGCCGCGTGGTGCTGCGTGTGTAACAGCCTCCATTGTTTAGTTCTTGTTTTAGGTAATTTACGTTCAATTACTGATGCGTTTAGGTCTGCCATGTTATTCTTTGTCTCTGTTTCTGTTCCCCTGCACCTCTTCTGCCCCGGGTTGCTTGTGCTCCACTTCAGCAGATGCGTTGGTTTTGATTACATCTCCAGTGTTGCCCTAGGGATACAGTGAGTCCTCCTGGGCTTTTGCAGTCCCAGCCTCCTGGCTCTGCCACATCAGGTCCGTGCGGACCCATTCAGCCTCTCTCCCTCGGCTGCGGGGGCCCCCACCACACAGTGTTAGCATGGCTGCTTTCAGTAATTAGGCATGTTTTGAAGAATGGGTGAGGAGGACGGTCTGTTTCACAAGACATTTACCATTTCTGTTGCTCTTTATTCCTTCCTGGTGGCCTGGTTTCTTTCTGTCTGAGGACTTTGGTTAGTGGTCCTCTTAGAGCAGGCTTCCTTCTCTCCTTACTCTCTCTCCTTATTCCTCCTCGGAGAGTGTTCACATTCATTCCTGATGGGTGTTTTTGCTGGAAATGGAATCATCCAAGGTTGGAAGCATCCTCATTTAGAGATGAGGACCCTGAGGCTTGGATGGGTTGCATGCTCTCCAGGGACATTCTCTGCTCATCTGGATTTGGGGTCTGGGTCTTCGACTCCCGTTGTAAGCAGCTGTTAGAATGCAGAGGGCCAGGGTGGTATCTGACATGGGGCAGCCTGCAGGCTTGTCTTGGTGTCAGCTTCTTGCCCTGTAGTCCGCGTACCTGACCAGTTGTGGGCCCCGTTTCAGGGGAGGTGCATCCACTGGCTGTCAGAGAGCCCTGCCTCCTCATCCAGAGTGGGGGCGGTCGGAAGGGGCTGAGCCCATGTCTCTGCCAGGTCTTCTGAGTAAATGGTACTGCTGGGGACACTCGCCTCCTCACTTTGGGTCCCGGTGTCCCTTTCCCTCACCTCTTTGTTTCTTGGGCTGTCCTTTCGAATCTCTCAGATGTGGTCACTTCGTGAATCCTGAGGCTGGGCATATTCTGCTCAGTGAAAACTGCCACGTCTGCGTGCTACCCAGCCTCTGAACAATAGCCACCAGCCGCAGACACTGGCGGGAGACATACCCTGCAGTCCTTGAGCAGCAGCCTTGAGCCTTCCAGCCCTTGGGGCTCTTCTCACTTGACTGATGGGCTGACACAGCAAACAGAGATCCAGCTAGGAGCCACCCCGCTGGTGACTCTCAGTGTTTCCGAGCGTGAGGTTGAAGGCTGAGCTCTGTCCTGTGGCTGCATGTCACAGGTGTAGTCACGCTTTGTGCGCTGACACATTCTGTGTTTGTGTTTGGATTTCAGGCGAGCCCATACCCTAACTGTGCTCTTCATCCTCACCTGTGTGCTTGGCTACGTGACTCTGCTGGAGGAGACACCTCGGGACACAGCCTATAACACCAAGAGGTAACCAGGCCCCCAGCCTGGGTGGTGGAGGCACCCGGCATAGTTGGGTGTGGATCCTTGCTCTGTCAGGCTGGCCCGTGGCTCGGGGGGCCAGTCTCCACTCCAAGACTGGCGGGGCTCCCATCCTCCCCACTGCATATGCCTGAAGCATATCTCCCAGGCTGCCGCTTGGAGCTGTGTGGCTTTTTTAGCCTCACATCCACCTGTCCCAGGACCCTTGACGGTACCATCTCTCATGGGACCTGCAGCTTGTGTGGGATTTGCACGAGTAACAGACCAGAATGTGCTGCAGCAGCACCAGGGATGGAACCCAGAAAGGTCACCGGTTCTGATGAGAGGGATGGTTTCCCTACACACCCCACAAGCAATGCTCTGGACACCACCTGAGTGTCTACAGTTCAGCTCAGTCCTGAGACCATCTGCCCAGAGACCACATCAGGTTGCACAGGTTGAGCGCTCAGTCCTGCAAGACTGAGCGTCCTTCCCCCACTTCAGGTGCCAGTCACAAGTCGGGGTTGTCACCTGGGCCTCTGACCAAGTGGCTGTAAATCCAAGGTTCCCATGACTTCTCAGTTCTGTTCATTCACCAGAGCGGCTCACAGAACTCAGGGAAACATTTTACGTACTAGATCCCCAGCTGATTACTAAAGGATCCAAGTCAGGAACAGCCAGATGGAAGAGATGCCCAGGGTGAGGTCTGGGGAAATGTCCATGGCCCTTCCAGGCACACCACTGTCCCTGGATCTCCACGTGTTCCCCAACCCAGAAGTTCTCAAAACCTTGTCCTTTGGGTTTTATGGAGGCTTCATTACTTAGCCATGACTGACTCATTGGCCTTTGGCGATTGAACTCAACCTTCAGCCCCGCTGCCACCCCCGGAGGTCGGAGGGTGGGATAGAACCGACCCTCCAATCCCTTGGTTGGCTGTCCTGGCAGCCAGCCCGCATCCTTAGGTGAGGGTCCAAAAGTCACCTCATTAACATAACAAAAGACACCTTTATCACTTCAGAAATGCCAAGGGTCTTAGGGGTTCTGTGCCAGAAACAGGGATGGAGAAATACATATTTCTTAATATAAATCACAATATCACAGAGCCTATGAGTTTGGGCATCTGGGGGTATACAGATATTTGTGATGGCCAGGGACGATTCTCTCCCATCAGCCAGCACCATTCTTGAGCTTTGTTGATACTGATGCTTTTTGAACATTTTAAACGGGTATTCTTGTGGACGATGTCATCCTGAGGTCAGGAAACAGGTACACTGCCTTTTCAGTATTATTTCCAGACATAGACTAACTGGTAGATCATGTTCTTTGTCGGAATCCCATGGGTTCTGAGGCCACTGTCAGAAGCGTGTGAGGGAGATAAGCTGGTTTTAGAACTGATTGCTGTGGGATTTCTCTACTGGGTGGACTCCTCAGGCCCGTGAAACCCCCATTGCTCCTCTGACCCACTTGCTCTGTGGCACGGGGCACCAGGGCAGGGACAGAGGCAGAGGGTGGTGCTGGAAGACTGCTGGCTGGATTTGGTTGGTGGGGCCGGGGCTTGTGAAGTGGGGGTGCTAGCGTCTGCCTGGGAGTGTGGCCTGAGCACCGTTGTGTGCTCCATGGGTGTCTAGCCTGTTAGGACACTGGGACGTTAGGTGCTCCCTTTCAGCAATATGTCTGGCCGCCTGCGTGTACACGCACTTCAGAGCCCCCATCTGGTCTCCTAGGCTGCAGCCAGGGGGTGGGGGCTCTGCTCCCCCAGGGGGACCCATGCCTTGTCCTCAGTGGAAAGACGCCCTGGCTCCTGGTTGCACACTGTGCAGGATATCCTCCCGCCTCTCCCACACTGTCTTCCTCTTTTTTCCAAGTCTAACACGTCCACACAGGCACTGCCTGTTGCTTGGTGCCCTGCTGGTGCAGCGGGGGGAGCCGGTCATGCCACGTGCGTGGGTAATGGAGTCCAGAAGTAGAAGGGGGAGCTTGGCCCCTCTGGGTGGCCCGAGGCTGCCCTCACTGCAGTGGGTCCCTGCACCAGGGACACTGAACCTGTGGACGCAGGAGACAGTGAGACTGAGTTTGCTTAGTGGGTGTTTCCAAGTAGAATGTGGCCTTCTCTGTGAATTTGTCTGTCAGCACTGGTATCTGCTGGGCACACATGGGCAGAGAGCACCAGAAAGCAGGACTTGGTCATGTTCAAGAGGTGTCCCCCTGTGGCTGTGAAGTTAGGCCAGCGATGAGCAGTTCCAGGCAAGAGTTTTCACAGGTTAGAGCACAACGCCACCAACGGTGGGCCCTCATGGGGCACTGGTTCTTACTCCCCAGTGCCTGCTGGCGAGCCTCTCCAGCCCGGACCCTGAGGTTAAGGGGCCTTGTTGGCTGTTTTTGGGCAGCAGCTGTGGACCCATGTGGGCATGTTCCACCTCTTCACCTTGCACTGGCCCCTGTCCTGAGCTGCCCCTGCACGTGAGGGGCTGGGGCAGTGAGCAGCAGAGACGCCTGGGCCCTCACCCCAGCAGCCCCTATGGAAGTTCACTGAAGGGGAGACCTTGAGGGGGTTGGGAATTTGAGGGCTCCTAGACCCTTCTCTGCTCTGAAGTTCTGTGCACTGGGGACACTAGGAATCTTTTTTTTTTTTTTAAAGATTTTATTTATTTATTTGAGAGAGAGAATGAGAGATAGCACGAGAGGGAAGAAGGTCAGAGGGAGAAGCAGACTCCCTGCTGAGCAGGGAGCCCGATGTGGGACTCGATCCCGGGACTCCAGGATCATGACCTGAGCCAAAGGCAGTCGCTTAACCAACTGAGCCACCCAGGCGCCCGGGGACACTAGGAATCTTGATAGCTCACAGTCGCTGTCCCTCTTGGCCTACATCAGGGACAGAGAAGAACTACCCTCCTGGCCCCATAATTCTGCACGTGGCGCCTGGAACCTGCTCCTGACTCATCCCTGGGAGCCTCCATTGCCCCAGTGATGCTTCCGTCCTCACACATCTGGGGTTCTGCTGCTGCTTCCAGGGAGATTCTCATGGGTGTATGGATGCATCCTCGCCCTGTAGACCCCGGGCTGGCCCACAGCCCTCCCCCACTCAGCACACCTGCCTGCCTAAGGCAGGCACTTTCGGGGCAGCCCCCAGCCCAGCCCCTTCGCATCATGTCAGAGATTTTGATGCCCTCAGGCTTAGATTTCATGTAAAGAAAGTGCTTCTAGAGATTATGTTTATTGTTTAAAAAAGAGAAAGAAAAAACAATGTCTGCATTATTTAAAACCTAGAAAATCGGCTTGTTTTCCTTAAGTTCTCAATTTCAGCTTGTATATCATTGTTCTTTTTATGGATCTAACAAATTCTGTTATTTTGGGGGGGTAGGTTTTTTTTCCGAAGTCAACTTTATCGTCCAGTAATTTAATACAACACATATCTAGAGCTCAGTGAGTCTCGCCAGATGCATGTGTCTATGGAGATACAGTCCCCCACACCAGCCATCTGTCCCCGTAGGTTCCTCTTGTCTGCACTCCAGTTTCATATACACCGAGTCACCCAGCCTGCACACCGTGTTTGGTTCCTTCCGTGTGACATGGTGGCCTTGTGACATCCATGTTTGGTGCCTGTCGGTGATTGGTCAGGTTCATGGGTGGGGAGTGTTCCGCTGTGTGGATGGGCCACAGTTTATTGATCCATTTATCCATTGGTGACACTTGGGATGTTGACATACATGGATGAGCGTGTATGTACAGATACATAAAGAAGTTATTACATGTAAGACGTGAATGTATTTTGCATATCTGTAGTATGCAGGAAATACAGTGTACTCGTATATTGAAAAAGAGCAGAGCTGGAGGGATGACCCCACCTGGCCTCCCTGACCGGCGGCAGTGATGTGGCCAGCGTGGTGTTGGCAGTCAGTGGGACAGACCCACACAAATACTGTCCCCTCGCCGCGGGCAGAGGAGTGCAGACAGTTCGGGGGAGAAAGTCCTTTCAGCCAACAGAGCTGGAATAGCTAGATGTTTATACAAAAGGAAGCTGCATACAGACTTTTCACCATCACTGAAAATAGGTTATAGACCTAAGTGTAAAATAAGAAACCGTAAAATTTCCTAAAAAAAAAAAAAAACAGTAAAAAATCTGGTGACCTTGGGTTTGGTGGTGACTTTTTAGCTACAACACCAGAAGTTTGACGGTCTCTTGTAGAATTAAACTTATTCTTACCCTGGGGTCCAGTAATTGGACTCCTAGGTATTTATCCAAATGAAACGAAAACTCATGTCCACACAAAAGCCTGCAAATGGATGTTAGAGCAGCTTTATTCATAATTGCCCAAACTTGGAAGCAGCCAGCATGTCCTTGAGTAGGTGAGTGGATAAACAAAAACAGGTACATCCAGACCATGAAATTTTTTTTTTTTTAAGATTTTATTTTATTATTTGACAGAGAGACAGTGAGAGAGGGAACACAAGCAGGGGGAGTGGGAGAGGGAGAAGCAGGCTTCCCGCCGAGCAGGGAGCCCGATGCAGAGCTCGATCCCAGGAACCCGGGACCATGACCTGAGCCAAAGGCAGATGCCCAACAACTGAGCCACCCAGGCGCCCCCAGACCATGAAATATTATTAAGCAGCAAAAAGAAATGAGCTACAGGGGCGTCTGGGTGGCTCAGTCATTGGGCGTCTGCCTTCGGCTCAGGTCATGGTCCTGGAGTCCCGGGATCGAGGTCCATATCGGGCTCCCTGCTCAGCGGGGAGTCTGCTTCTCCCTCTGACCCTCTTCCCTCTCGTGCTCTCTGTCTCTCATTCTCTCTCTCTCAAATAAATAAAATCTTTTAAAAAAAATAACAAAATTCAACCGAGTAAATTTAATAATTTTTTTATTGTTAACCACCATACATTACATCATCAACCGAGTAAATTTAAAGATAGAGTTGGCTTTATTCAGTGATTCGTGGCTGGACGGCCTCCCATCCAGCAATACAAGGAGCTCCGCCAAGCTGCAGAAAAGGAAAGGTTTGTAAAGACAGGAGAGTGGCAGTAAGGGAAATTAGGAGCAGAGAAGGGAATGGAAGGGGTCTGTGGGGCAGATTACCTGCCTAGGACTGGCCAGCTAATTCCATGCTGACTGGTTAAAGGTCAAATTCCTGGGGTCGAGAATGCACTTCAGGTGGGTGTTAAGTCTGTGGTTTGCTGACTGGGGCTCAGCCCAAGTGACTTTGTTTTGGGCCTGCTGTCTCCTTTTTAACACTACAAAGATGGAGGGTGAAACTCAGATACATCTTACAAAGTGAAAGAAGCCGTGTGGGAAGGCCATGTACTGTGTGATGTTCCCATGTGACATTCTGGCAAAGGTGCTGCCATGTGGTGGTGAGATCAGTGGTGTGTAGGGCGATGGGGGAGTCCGTGTGTGGAGCTTGGGATTGGAGGGGTTTTTAAAGTGCTCTGTACGGTACTGTAATGGTAGATACGGGACCCTTTGCATTAGTCAACACAGGGAGCAAACCTAATGTATGCAAATCAGAGAAAAGGAAATAAGTCAGGACGTCGGGAATCCCAAGGACCAATGCAAACGGTGCAGGACTCTCACTGTATTACACACGTGTGAAGCCACCTCAGCGGCGGGGCTGGAGTCTGCCAGGCTCAAGGCAAAGGACGTGCACACGCGCACTGGGCTCTCGTGGACGCAGGGGCTTCCCGCGGGGGTCCAGCTTAACAGCTCTGACGCTGCTGCGCACGCACACTGGAATGGAGGGACCAAGTCAGTGGCCGGCGGAGGCTGAGAACCTGGGGTGTCATTGTGGAGTGGGGGGTGACAGGGAATCAGGGGGAGGATGGTCTGTGGGATGATGGACGGGAGTTGGAAGCACCAGCTTAATGTCAACACAGATGGTTACACAGGGACGTAGTTGAGATTTGTGTAGATGCACAGTCAGTACACGGCTCTGTCTGCTGAGGGGCCCAGAAGCTTCGACGCCCCAGTGGCGAGGAGCACGCCGGCCCCCGGAACTTGGTTCCCCAGACCATCCTCCAGTGAAGGAACCAGGGCTCCTGGAGAAAAGGCTGATTCCAGGGCTGGGGCAGGAGATGCCCAGCTAGGTCTGGGGGCCGTCTAGCGCCAGAAAGGAAGAGCTCAGAAAAAAACAAAATCCCGCAAGGATGGGGTTATGTCAAAGCTGTGATGAAGCAGACAACTGAAGGAGCTCCCAGTGGCCAAAGCGGGAATGATTTGAGTAACAAAACATAAAGTAGTATCACATTATAACCCAAAGTATAAAATACATACCCACAAGTCCGTGCTGATATAAATGGTCAAGTAAGTAAGTGAGGGAGAAGAGACAAGTTGCCCCACCAGACGAATTCCAAATAAATGTAAGAGCTCCCCGTCAAGGAGTGGGGGCTCAGCCCCCCAGCCCTTGAGTGCTGGTTGTACAGAGGGACCCTCCCAAGAGCAGAGTAGGGAGGGCACCTGACAGGTGCACCCCAGCCAGGGGACATCAGAGATCGTGTTGGTGTGATGTGATCTTACTCCCAAAACCTGCAACCCTAATGGAATCACAGAAAGCAGCAGACGGTATTGACTAGGGGACATCCTGCAGAACACCTGACCGGTCCTCTTCAGAACTGTCCAGGCCTTCCAAAACAAGGGAAGTCTGAGGCGCCGTCACCACCCAGAGGGGCTGAGCAGACGTGATGGCGGAATGTCATGGGCGTACTGGGTGGGATCCTGGGGCAGAAAAGGGGCTTTATTTATTTATTTTTATAAGTTTGTTTATTTATTTGTCAGAGAGAGAGCACGAGCAGGGGGAGCAGCAGAGGGAGGGAGAAGCAGGCCCGCCACGGAGCAGGGAGCCCGACACAGGATTCGATCCCAGGACCCCGGGATCACGACCTGAGCCGAAGGCAGACGCTTCACTGACAGAGCCCCCCAGGCGCCCCAGAAGAGGAGCTTTAGATAAACAGTGAGGAAATCTGAGAACACAGCAGACTGCAGTTAACGTACCAGTATGGATTCGTGAATTGTGACAAACGACCCATATACTAGTGTAAGGTGCTAACACGGGGCCTAGGTGTGGGGAATGTGGGAATTCTGTACGTTCTGCGCCTGACTGACACATCTTGCTAAGTAACCCTGAATGTTGCCTTAAGATGTGATGCCAAGGTTGGAATCATGAAGCGGACCTGGTGAAGGGAGGGGGTCGCCCAGCACCACTGGGCACAGGTGCTCTGAGATTTTGCCTCCCTCATTCTGTTCTCATGGTGACCCCTCTGCTGGTCACACATTGCTCCAAAGCCATCTCTGGATCACACCAGAAGGGGCCTCTCCTGGGGGTAGAGGGTGTCACACTGGGAGGGTAGCTGGGTGGGGGTCCGTGTGCTCCTCCAGGCAGCCCGTGTGGACTTCCCACCCCCAAACTGAATAGTGTGCGTCTTCAGGCAGGTGGGTACCTCACGAGCCCTCTGTATGGGCACCTGTGATGGGGACGTGGGTCCTGCCCTGCTGAGCACAGCGGCCAGTGTCCCTCTGCGCCTCCTGCAGTTTGGAGGCCGGCAGCTGCAGGAGCAGGGAGCCAGGACTGACATGGAGACTGGTCCAGAGACTCAAGTGTCCCCTGGGGGCCACACCCACAGCAGCACACCACCCAAGACGATCAGACTTCATCCTGGCCATATGAGGGGTGGGCAGAGCCCCTGCCCCACTCCTGGCCCTGGTGTGGGGACAGGAGGGCAGAGGGCTGCCAGGGGGGTGTCCTGTGGGGCCCAGCTTCACCTGCGCCCACCCTTGACTACCGAGTGCACTTAGCGGGCAGAGGGGGATAAGGTGTTTTCAGGCTGACACCTTTGGCCTTCTGTGTGGTCTTGTGTTTGTGTGTGTTTGATACAGCAACCCAGCTGGAAACAGCAAGCGTGTGCGTCCTTGCCTCATGATTGCCGGGAGGGGGAAGAACGGGCCACCCTGCAGCCCTTAGACCCCCTGCTGGACGGGTCAGTGGTCGGAGCGGCTGTGTGTGTCTTTGCTCCTTCCACCGTGCAGGTGCACTTCTCCGTGTCTGTCTGATCACAGGGAGTCGGTCCACTTCATGCTGTTGCAGATCATAGCAGCAGTCTCCTGGGCCCTTGCCTTGTGGGAGCAGAAGGCCATTCATTCCACCCTTGCACCCTCGCATCTTTCCTAGGGGCCCTCGTGGAGCCTGGCTGGTCTCGCATGGGATTCTAGGTGTTCTCTAAGTGGGAAGCACATGCAGTCGTGGGGTACCACTTTGCAGCCTAACTGAGGCACAGCTCCCGGCCGATGGCCTTCTCCCAGGGGGGTTGCTGCCTCCAGGCAGCACATGGGCTGTGGAGGCCACGGTGTCAGCCCCCTCCCTGCCACCCGGTCACCCACCTGTACCCCCGAGGCCTCCTCCCGCTTTGCCCCGCTGGGGTCCCTCCCGCCCCGGCCCTCCCGCCTGGGAGACGTGCACTGAGGGGCTGTCTGTTCTTTATTTGCAGAGGTATTGTGGCCAGTATTTTGGTTTTCTTATGTTTTGGAGTCACACAAGCTAAAGACGGGCCGTTTTCCAGACCTCATCCAGGTAACTTGTCCTTTCTTTGTCCGCGTGTGCCCACATGACAGTTCTGTCCTGAGCGGTCACTCCGTGTCCGTTCTGCCGGGTGCGCATGTCCCAGCCCCCCCCCGGCCGGCCAGGGCGCGCTGTCATCAGCTGAGGAGGGTGAGGGTGGGTGCCTCTGGTCTTCGCCCTTCTCCCGTGTCTGCTCCTGTCCTTGCCCCTCTCTCCCCTTCCCGCCCACTCTGTCTGAGGGGACTCCTCCCGCAGAGTGAGGTGCCCCAGGACTGTCCACAGGGTCGGCGTGGGCCTGCCACTGAGGTGCTCGCCGCGTGCCATCTGCAGCGAGTCCTCCTGTCTCTGACCCCCCGGCCCCCAAGTTAAGAGAGGAGTTCTGACGACCCCTTGAGCCTCGGAGCTGCAGAGCACTGCTCGGGCTGCCCCTGGTCCTGCCCCCCTGCCCTGCCCCTGGTCCTGCCCTGAGTCCTGCCCCCCTGCCCTGCCCCTGGTCCTGCCCTGAGTCCTGCCCCCGGTCCTGCCCCCGGTCCTGCCCCTGGTCCTGCCCTGAGTCCTGCCCCCGGTCCTCCCTTCTGGTCCTGCCCCCCAGCCCCAGTGTGTTTAGGGCTCCAGCCTCATTGAGGGGCTGCCTCTAAGGGCAGGGCATAGTGAGTTTTCCTGAAGTCTTACAGCTTAGTAACATGTTTCTTTTCTGTATTAATAGGGGTGTGTATTCCTTGTAGAATATTTGGAAAATACAAAAACTATTTTTAAATAGAAACAAAAGCCAGTCACAGAAAATAACTACTGTTAAGTTCTAATGTGTTTTTATGAATACATATACACACAGAGCTTAAAAAATGTGATCCTCCTCTGTGTGTAGTTTTTTTTTTTTTTTTAAAGATTTTATTTATTTATTTGACAGAGAGAGACAGCGAGAGCAGGAACACAAGCAGGGGGAGTGGGAGAAGGAGAAGCAGGCTTCCCGCGGAGCAGGGAGCCCGATGCGGGGCTCGATCCCAGGACCCTGGGATCATGACCTGAGCCGAAGGCAGACGCTTAACGACTGAGCCACCCAGGCGACCCTCTGTGTGTAGTTTTGAATCATTTATTTCTCACTTCAGGTTAACACAAACATCTCCTTAGTAATTTTGTATTTGACAAGTAGACATTTCATGGCTGCTTGTCTGGCCATCATTTGACATACGACAGTTTGTTTACCAGTCCTGTATCATCGTATGCTCCAGCTTTTATAAAGCAGGCTATAGTGAATTTCTGCACATGCATCTGTGTGTATGTATATGATCATTCATTTAACACCAAGCCCTGGGAGTGGAAGCCACAGGCTGAATGGCGCGCGCATTTCAGGCCTGTGGTAGACATGACCGAACAGCCCTCTGGAAGCGGTCAGTGAGCACCGTGGCTGTGAGCCGGGCCCCTGCCGGGTCTTTCTAGCTGCTCTACCCCCTCAGTGCCTGCTGGGGACGCTGATGCTGGGTGACCCCTGTGGGGCAGTGGGGAGGGGACCCAGCCCCCTAGCTTACCATCTGCTCAGTCATGGGCCTCCAGAGGGTCTGAACGCCCAGCCAGTGGAGAAGTGAGACAACAGTTTAAGAGTCACCAAAAATCACAGCAAAAATCCAGGTGCGGTGAGTGCCTGTTGGATTGGGAAGAGTCAGCGGTTCTGGGCGTGGCAAGTCCCTTGGGGGCGCTGGGCCCTGCCCGCGGGTCAGATAGCCGTTGGGTGGCTGCTTGGCCACCCTCATCTGAAAGGCTCCCCTGTGGTTTCTGTGGGCTTCGTGAGCATTTACCCAGCCCCCCACCCCCAGAAGTCTCATAGCTGAGTTCTGAGTTCTGCTCCACCTTCCTTCCTTCCTTTCGGTTTGGTTGCTTGGTGTAAACTCTGTCCCTGCCAGTCTGTGGTTTGACGAATGTGGGGATCCTGTTCTGGAGCACCTTCTACCCTAGCAGTTGGCAGAAGGCCTCGACTTCTCAGATTAGCATGCACTGGACATAAGTCCTGTCAGTCCTGTGCAGCATATGCTGTGGAGAACAGTGGGAAGGGTCTTCTGGCCCCAGGAAGGAGGTGTCGTGGGCTGCAGGACCCACTGTCTGGGAGGGGACTGGAATTGGCTGCAGTTCCCAACAAAACTGGCCGGTTGAAAAGGCACCCTTCTCATTACAATTTTTATTCTCATCCGTGGCTCCCTCCAAACGCTGGAATAAGCAGAATATTGCCGGGGCTGCTGAGGCGGCTGCTTTTAGGGAGAAAGTAAGCGTGCCAGTGGGGTGGCTCCTGAGGGAAACCAGCCTCAGGAGTCTCCCGGGGGCTCAAGGGAGACCCTGCGTGGGACTGTAGGAGGAGCAGCTGCTGAGTATTGGGGGTGGGTGGGCAGGTCTGGGGCCCTGGGGTGCTCTACAGGTGGAGGGTGACAGGCGTGGGAGATGGCTGGGTCCCTGACCAGGAGAAGTGGTCGGGGAGGAGACAGATTCAGTGTCAGAAGATCCACAGGGACGGTGCCGTCGCATGGTTGTGGGCTGAGCGCTCCGGGGAGGGTGCCCTGAGTTGCTTTGAGGCAGGCCCTTTCAGCTCCTGCTGCAACCCTTGACCAGGGAGAGCTTTCCCGGCATTTCCCAAACTCAAGGGCAGTGGGGCTGGTGTGTCACCTCCACTCCGTATCCCGTGCCCCAGAAGTACTTGAGCAAACCGTCCTGAGAACTGATCTTCACCCTTCCCACCTACACCAGCCTGGGCTTTCAGGAGTCTTGGTGGCTGTTTCCCCCACAGGCAGATGAGGTGCAAGCCTCTGGGGGTGCTGGGTGGGCCCTGGAGCCCCGCATGAGCGCCTCCACACTGAGCCGCCCCCGCCCCCGCCCCCACAGCCCGACATGTCCAAGGCCGAGCGGGGTCTCTTCCACGTTTGCAAGCACCACCTTTTTTATTCAAGGGGGATGGGTTTTTAAAAGCAGGCTGGTGGTTTTTCTTTAAACAGTCATAAGCAAAGGGAAAGTAGATATTTTAGGTCTTTATTAGACAGGATTATCAAGATTTTCGGAAGGTGAAGGTTACCATTTGTGTCCTAGAATAGTTGTAGGCACGCCCTCTCCTGTTACCTCCTCCCCTGGTGAACAACTGAGCTTTCCGTGCCAAGCTGTGGATACCAGGTGGTGGAGAGAGGGCGTCCTGGCTAATCAAAGGGATCTTGAGGGAAAAGTTCTTTTTTTTCTCAGCTCTGTTGAGATTTGATTGACCCCTAACGTGTGGGTTTGGGGTGTACGAGGTGATTGGACACGTGTGTATTGTCCACTGGCGGCCACAGCAAGGTGAACGCCTTGGTCGCCTCACAGACTTAGTCTTTCTGTGGGGAGAACGTGTGAGACCTGCCATCGGCAGCTTGGAAGTACACGCCCCCGGCACGGTAGCCGCAGCGGCCCCCGGCACAAGTGGTCCTGCTGAAATGGAGAGGTTTCCTGAAAAGGGTGCCACAGCCGGGTTCGGTTTATCCCAGGGATCCAGAGGGGGCCTAACGTCCGAAAACGTGTGGGTGTCATCCCTCACGTGCGCGCTAGGGAGGAAGGACGGTGTTTCCTGCCCAGTCACGGGAGGGACAGCTGGACTGGGTAGGCCTTCCTAACCCGGTCAGGGTATCCGAAGGTTCCAGCAGAGTCGCCTAACGATGAAGGTCAGAAGCGTGCTTGTAACGGGCAGGGGCGTGCCCGCCGGCCGCGCTGAGACCAGGCGAGAAAACCGGGCGGAAGGAGGCACGCACACAGGGCCGAGCTCAGCTGTGCTGCTGCTGCGCCTGCTGCACTCTCCCGCGGGCCACCTGACGCCGGCGCTCTGTGTCTCTGCAGCTTACTGGAGGTTCTGGCTGTGCGTCAGTGTGGTCTACGAGCTGTTCCTCATCTTCATACTTTTCCAGGTAAGCGGCCGTTCTCGGTTGGAGGGTCTGGGAATGCAGGTGATGGTGTGGCCCTGGGTACGTGAAGGGTTCTAGAAGACTGCCTTTTGGCCCCTCTGGAGCTTTGGCAGGAAGCAAGGCTGGACCCCAGCAGAAGTGGGCAGGGGCTGTGAGGGGGGACCCTCCAGAAGGATCCAGGTGTGGAAAGGCTGTACCTGCCACAGCTCAACAGGGTCTCCGCCCTGAGCGTGGAGGATTTTGAGGACCCTGCCCAGACGGCTTCGGTTGGGGAGCGAGGACAAGGCCCAGGGGAACCACCTGGCTCAGGTGCAGATGCCTGCTGGGCAGTCTGTCCTCTGAGCTGCTGGTGTTCTGGGCCTGAGGGGGGCCCAGCTCACCTGCTTCCACACAGCGCTCAGTAATGAAGGTGGCCCCAGCCATCCAGTCCCTCCGCGCACATAGGGTAGTCAGGAGGGAGGTTGGAAACTCCTCGCCTTAGTAAACCTTGGGTCAGGACTTCTATTAATGTTCCTTGTTTTGCCTAAATCGGTGTACGTTTTGATGGTGATCTTCAGTTTACAGAGTACTTTATTCACAACCTCAAAGCTGTCAGTGGTGTTCCTCACAGTCGATGCTCGTGGTGTAGTAAAATTTACTTCTTTAGGGTACGGTGCAAACGGTAACACCGGTGTGTGTTTGTAACCCCACGTGGAGGACCCTGCAGTAGCTTGAGTCACCCTTCCCTGTCTCCCCCAGAGCCACTGACCTGCTCTCCCTCCACCACCTGGGCCCCTGAAGGGCATCCGGGTCCTGTGCCTCTTTCTGCTGAGTGGGGTGGCCAGCGGCATTGGGGCTGTTCTTGAGCGGGGCTGTTGGCAACAGGCTTTCATGTGCACCTGAGCATGGTTGTGGGCCTGCCGTGTCCCACGCCTGTCACTTGTCAGGATCTTTATCATGGCCGCTCTTGGTGGTGTGTCCTGGCGTCTCCTGCTTTTGTTTGCATTTCTGGAACGCCCTCACTGGTGAAGTGCTCATGCTGTGGGGCGACCCCCATGGGGTGCTCAGCCTTCAGAGGCTCCTCACCTTGTGCACAGGTTTCACCTGTCGTGGGGCCCGAGTGCCTATGAGTCTGGCTCCTGCTGACCTGCTCTCCTGATACAGGGACACAGCAGTGTCCAGCCTCAGACCCAATGGTTACCAAAACCACACGGGGTGATTTCAGTTGTTAGTGATGTTACTGTCCGAGGGTCGCTTCCAAAGACCCCAAGCGGGGGACAGGGTTGCATTGCAGGACGAGGCAGTGCGCCTGTGTATCACGGGTGGCCTTGGCCACGTGACACATGCAGGCCTGTGTGTCGTCTGCCCATCAGCCACGCATGTCTGTCACCCCCTCAACCTCTTCCCTGCTCCGTCCCTTGGCTGGTACTTGGGGCAGGAGTGAGGGGACAGAGTCCTGACAGCAGGCGTCCTGGGGCCCCTCCCTGTGGACTGTAGGCCCCAGCTGCTGGCTGGAGAGGGCCCGAGGGAGGGGGAAGCCTGGGCCTGCTGGCGGGGCAGCCTCTATCCGTGTGACCCTGGAAGTCTCCTTAGTGCTAAGGCCAGAAGGAGTGATTTGCTAGTGTAGGTGTCCATGTCTGGGAAGGCTGTCCTGATGTCGTGCTCCTTCTGTGAGGGGATGTGGAGAGGCGAGGTGGCGAGACCACTGACCTGAGCCTTCGCCCTGTGGCCCCACCTGTGTCCCCACATGGGAGGCGTGGGGCATCACCTTGCACTTGGGACCCCCCCCCCAGTCTGCCCAGCCCTGTGTTCGGGGGACGGCAGTAGAGACAGGGTGCTTGCCCCCACTCGGTGGAGGTGCCTTCCACAGCCCCCAGGCCATACACATGGCTCGAGGTTTCGGGAGTTTAGCCGGGTTCTCCCATCACCACCAGAAGCATCTGGCCCCACTAACCAGGGTGCTGGCCTTGCAGACTGTCCAGGACGGCCGCCAGTTTCTGAAGTACGTGGACCCTAGGCTGGGAGTCCCACTGCCTGAGAGGGACTACGGGGGAAACTGCCTCATCTATGATGCACACAATGAGAGCGACCCCTTCCACAACGTTTGGGTATGGGCGGGCCCGAGGAGCCCAGTGCTCAGGGTGGGGCCAGGAGTCCAGTGCTTAACAAGCTCCCAGGTGCTGACCTGTTCTAGATGTTTCTGGAACCCCAGTCATTCTGCAGATCGGACGGGGTGGGGGTGGCATGGGCCCTGGCAGGCGCTGGCCTCCCTCCTGCTTGACCAGGGGCTCCCTTCAGCTCAGCCCACTTGGAGCAGGGGCGGGGGACCCAGGGGCCATGCAGCCCACATGTGGGGGCCCTGTCCCAGCTCACCAGGGTACGGGTCCCTGCTTTCCAGCCTGGAGACTTTGTCTTGGCCCAACCCGTGTGCTTCACTGGGGGACCCGCTGACGGGGGCACCTGCTCTCCTCGGTGGTCAGGGCGTGCTGTCTGCTTGTGCACAGGACCCTAGCTTTGTCCCCCCGGTCCAGCCGGCGCTGCCCAGAAAGGCTGAGACCATCCCAGCAGTCCTGATTTGGGTGGGAGCCAAGCCCGTGGTGCATGCGGGCTGTACACGAGGCTGGTGTCCTACCCCCCAGGACAAGCTGGACGGCTTTGTGCCTGCGCACTTCCTTGGCTGGTACCTGAAGGTAAGATGACCTCATCAGGACACCCTGGGTCTGTCCTGTGTTCCAAGTCCGTTGCCCAGCCACATGCTGGCGTCCAGAGTGCTAGGGTGTGGTGGGCAAGGGCCTGGGGGCCGTGGCCCCGACCTGTGCTAGTCCTTGGTGTCGTGGCCTCCAGCCAGCGCCTCACCCCGCTCGGGAGGGCGGTGGGGGTGTCCCCCCCTGGAGGGTCTGACGCTCTGCCACGGCCCTCAGACCCTGATGATCCGTGACTGGTGGATGTGCACGATCGTGAGCGTCATGTTCGAGTTCCTCGAGTACAGCCTGGAGCACCAGCTGCCCAACTTCAGCGAGTGCTGGTGGGATCACGTAGGTGCCCTGGGGGGTCGCCGGGCGCAGAGGCCCTCAGGTGGGGCAGGACAGGGCGCTCACCTCCTCCCTGGTTCCTGCCCCCAGTGGATCATGGACGTGCTTGTCTGCAACGGGCTGGGCATATACTGCGGCATGAAGACCCTCGAGTGGCTATCTCTGAAGACGTACAAGTGGCAGGGCCTCTGGAACATTCCGACCTACAAGTGCGTCTCTCTCGAGCTGCCGCCCTGCTCCATGGGGGCCAGGGCATCCCCGTGGGGCCTGGAGGTGCCGCTAGTGCACCTTTTTTGGGGGGTGCAGGCAGTGGACCAGGATTTTGCCCGCTTCCTCTGTGCATAGGAGCATGCGCACATGTACGCACGCACCTGCCCCAGGCCCGCGTGGTGGCCAGGAAGTGGGCCTGGGCACCACCCTGTGCAGTCGGCCCCTCTTCATCCCTCCCGGCCCTTCTTGGGGGTCCCCAGGGCACGCCTGTGGGGCTGCCCTCCGCGTCGTACAGGCACTCGGCCACGTTTGAGATTTGCAGCAGAGTCCAGGGAAGGGCACTGGGGAACGGGGTCCCGCCGCCTGTCCGTTGTGGGTGCCTGGGGCGGGGGCGGCGGCGCAGGGAATGAGCAGCCCCTGGGCTCGGAGCACCCGGCGTGGCGGCCGGCAGCAGGGGCACCCGGGGTGACCGGTGCATGTGCCCCAGGGGCAAGATGAAGAGGATCGCCTTCCAGTTCACGCCTTACAGCTGGGTCCGCTTCGAGTGGAAGCCCGCCTCCAGCCTGCGCCGCTGGCTGGCCGTGTGTGGCATCATCCTGGTGGTAAGTGGCCAGTCTTGTGTGCGCGCCTGCTGGGCAGCCCGGCTCGCCGCCCACCCTCCCGTGTCCCCCAGTTTCTGTTGGCAGAATTGAACACGTTCTACCTGAAGTTCGTGCTGTGGCTGCCCCCGGAGCACTACCTGGTCCTCCTGCGGCTGGTGTTCTTTGTGAATGTGGGCGGTGTGGCCATGCGGGAGATCTACGACTTCATGGATGACCCGTGAGGGCCCCGGGTGGGTGGGGCGGGCCTGGGCGCACTTGGCCTTGCCACCCCTGGGGCACAGCTGCGGCACCCTCAGCCGAGTGCCCTCCCCCCACAGGAAGCTCCACAAGAAGCTAGGCCAGCAGGCCTGGCTGGTGGCAGCCATCACGGCCACGGAGCTGCTCATCGTCGTGAAGTATGACCCGCATACACTCACGCTGTCCCTGCCTTTCTACATCTCCCAGTGCTGGACACTTGGCTCTGTGCTCGTGCTCACCTGGACCATCTGGCGCTTCTTCCTGCGGTGAGTGGCGTGGGCCTCAGCAGGCCATCAGCCGTCTCCCGGGCTGGGTCTCGTGGTCCCTCCTTGTGAGTATGTGAGCGTCCCTGCAATGGGCAGCTTTGCAGGACCTCCATGGGCCGCCTGGTGGTGACATGGCTCCCACCACTCCCAGGGACATCACCCTGAGGTACAAGGAGACTCGGCGGCAGAAGCAGCAAAGCAGGGCCGACCAGGACAGAGCCGGGGGCAACACGGACGGACACCTGCCTGAGCCAGAAGACCCCCCAGGGCCTGCGGAGGCAGAGAGGGTGGGGGTGCCAGCCCCAAACTGATGCACCTCATGACCGCCTGGAGCCAAGGCTTGCTGGAGCCTTCCAACAGGCCTCGGCCCTTGTGATTTTATCACACTTTCTCCTGTGCGCACAGTGGGGCTCTGCGGGGTGGGGGCCAAAGGTGGCCCTTGTCCTGGTCATGTGGGGTGTCTGCACATGTGAACAGTGTATATGGGTGTGGACACGTGTGCTCCATGTTCCTGAGGCTTCTCTGGGGCTGACAGGTGTGGTTGGGCTTGCCCTGGGCAGCCGGTCTCCTCCTCTTTCTGCACCTTCAGCCCGCCCGGCCCCTGGGCCACACCAAGCCCTCAGCACCAGACGGCCCTGCCCAGCACAGGCATCATGGTGCCTCTCTCTGCTCCCTAGGCCCCCGGCCACTCTGAGGCCATGGGTGTCCGCCCCCTGGCCACACATCTGAAGGACACCCCGCGATGGCTAAGAAGGGGCAGGTCTGAGCAGGCAGCCCTGAGCCATTTCCCAGGGAGGCTTCATCTGACCCCACAAACGTAGGCGTGGGAACGGGGCCAGAGATCACTGGACTGGTCCCTTGAGGAAGGACCCTGTGCCTGAGGTGGGGAGGAAGGGTTGAGGGTCATCTTCGTGAGCAACCCGAACAAGTAAAGCAGCAATGAAGGTCTGCAGCAGTGTGTCCTCCTCACTGGCTCCCAGCCTCTGCCCCATCCCGAGCCCAAGGCAGGGGTTGCCCAGAGGGACGGGAGGGTAGGGGTGGGGCAGTCAGGGCCAGTGCTGGCCTCCTGTCCACTCGGGTGGGTGGTGGGGTACAGACGGACAGCCTGGGAGCTGCGTCTGGTGGGGGGTGAGGAGGGCAGCTGTCCTGGATGTGTGTGCATGCACAGAGCCGGAGAGCCCTCCTGAAAACACACCTGGGAGGCCATGCCTGGCGGGGACCCCAAACAGAAAGGACAAGCACCCCTCTTGCCAAAACAAGTGCTTTAATAAAGTGTCTAAAACTTTCTTGAAGAAGCGAGTTGATTAGAGCGTTTCTCTTCGTTCAAAGCTAGGACACCAGCGGGAGAGCCCCAGGGAGGGGCCGGGTTTCAAGAGATGATCCTCAGGCCAGGCTTGCGCCCCTCCAGAGCCCGCAGGCTGTTCTCAGTCTCCTCGCTCCAGTAGATGTCGTAGAGGCTGCGCAGGCAGCGGGGGAGGGTACGGGATGCGAGGTCAGGGCCACCGCCACCCACATGCGTCACTCACACCAGCTGCCCCCCCCCACCCACATTTGTCACTCACACCAGCTGCTCCAGTGTGCAGCCCGGCTGCTCCACGCTCGCCATCAGCTGCAGGATGCCCTGGTCGTCCATGCAGTTGTTGCTGAGGTCCAGCTCCCGCAGGCTGCGGTTGGCCAGCAGGAGCGAGGCCAGGCTGGCGCAGCCACCGTTGGCCACATCACAGTCCCCCAGGCTGGGCAGAGAGCAGGCCACAGGTAGGACAAAAGAGTCCGCGCCAGGCCCATGCCACAGACCGCGGGGTGACGGGGACGTCCGCGCAACACAAGGTCCACAGTGTGCGGAGCCCCAGGGTCATGGCTGTTCCCATGTTCCCAAGCTCGGGAGCTCATTTCCCCCTGTGGCCCCGGCAGACATCCCCACCAAAGACAACAGGTGTGCACAGCTCCCCTCCACAGGCACAGTAGTCAGACTGAGCTAAGGCTGGCACACCTGGACTTAGGGCCACAACCTCCCTGGGCAGATGGTGGGTGGGGGGGGCACCAGAGAGCCTCATCCGACCCCTCACTTCCTCACCACTGCATGCTGGGAGCTGGCTGGGTGGGTGGGAGCTGCCGAGGAGGCAACCAGAGGCCAAAGGCGCAGGGATGCAGGTATGGGGTGCACAGAGGGTGTGGGCCTCCGGAGTGAGGGCAGCGGAGAGGGGCAGGCTCAGTGCCACTCTGGCCTGTGCCCTGACCCTCCACCTGCACCCACGCCCCACCCAGTATGGCCAGGCATCCCCAGAAACAGCAGTGAGAAGCAGAGACCAAAACGCAGAAAACAAAGACAAAACACGGGACAGCAGAAGCGAATGCTGAGGCAGCGAGCTGCAGGCCGTAAGAACAGAAACTCAGGAGGAAAGAGAATGGTGCGTCAGGCCGCTGGGCGCTGAGACCCAGCAGTGGGCTCCTGAGTGCTCCACAAGGAAAAACGAGATTAGAAAAGCCACCAGTAGGCACATAATTTTAGCGCAACCAAGCGTCCAGCCCAGTAAAGGAACCAGGACCCACACAAGGCGAAGAACGCGGGCCCGCAGGACCCAGTAGAGCAGCGTGGAGCAGAGACCAGCAGGCGAGTTCTGGGAAGTACTAGAGACGGCAGGAGGGGGAGAGGGTCCTGGGAGGTGCCCCCGCACGGACCCATCAGACCGAGCACCCAGCCAGCATGGTGCCGCCCCGCGCCCACATGCCGTCCCTCAGGCACGCTCACCAGAGCACCTGCAGCGTGGTGCCGGGCTGGCCCAGGCCCTGGCAGAGCTCCTGGAGGCCAGAGTCTCCCAGCTTGTTGTTACTCAGCTGAAGCTCCACAAGGTGCTTGTTTTGGGTCAGCATCATGCCGAAGTGGTGGCAGCTCGCGGCCGTAAAACTGCAGGACTTCACCCTGGGCGAGACAGGACCAGGGCCTGACCGGGGCCCACACCTCTGGGGTGCTCTCGGAGGCCCCTGTGGCCCTGAGCATGAACCCCCCCAACCCCTGCCCTCCAAAGACAGCACCCCCCCCACCCCTTTGTAGAGGCACCTGCATCTCGAAGGCCCCGCACCCCTGACTTGCCCTCAGGCACAGAAGCTGCCCTGGCCCTGGGGCCCTAGCAGCACCCGCATCCATGGGGTGCCCTCGGGCCCCGTCTCGGCACAGGCCCCGTCTCGGCACAGGCCCAGCCGTCCGTGGCCACCGCCCGGACTGCACTCACCACAGGGACTGCAGCTGGCAGCCAGGCTCCCGCAGGCTGTCACAGAGCAGCCGAGCACCCTCATCCCCCAGTGCATTGCCCGCCAGGCTCATCTCCTTCAGGCTCTCTTTGGCCCCGAGGACACGGCACAGATCTCTGCAGCCCGCAGTGGTGATGTCACAGTCCCAGAGCCTGCCGGGCCCGGGGACACGTCACCACAGGGCCCGCGGAGGCAACACGGCCGACCTTCTCAGATACCCCCCACCTGCCCGCTGCGGCCGCGGCCGGCCGCAGGAGCAGGGCGAGTGCTGACTCACCACAGGACCCTGATCTGGCAGCTGGGGTGCAGCAGGCTGGGGCACAGCGTGGCGATGCCCTGGTCGCCCAGCTTGTTGTCACCCAGGTCCAGCTCCTGCAACGAGGGCTTGGAGGCCACGACACCACACAGGTCCTCACAGCTGGCCGACGTGAGGCCGCAGTTCTCTAGCCTGGGGGCACAGGAGGGCCGGCTGGGCTGGGAAGCCCCTGCGCGCCCCCCACCCCCACCGCGGACCCTCCGCAGCCAGGCCCAGTGCTTACTTGAGCGCCTCCAGCTGGCAGGCAGAGTCCACCAGGCCCCGGCACAGCACCCGCACGCCAGCCTCACCGACCTCGTTGTTGCTCACCGCAAGTTCCCTGAAGTGCCGCTTGGCCCTGAGCGCCGAGGCCAGGGCCTCACAGCTGGCGGCCGTCAGGTTGCAATACTCTAGCCTGGGGGTGGGCGGGTGTCAGGACCTCCGTCCAGGTCTCCTTTCCTGCCCCGGGCTGCAGGGCCTGTGAGACTGGAGGGCTGCTGGGCAGGGACAGCACAGCAGTAGCTAAGGGGCCATCTCCTGGGAGTGTGGGTGCTCCAAGCCTCCTGGAAGCCAGCCACTGACCATGAGCCCCACCCCACGCCTGGGATGCACCAGACCTGGGAGAGAGCTCCCGAGCTGGGTCTGGCTCCCCTCCTCCATCGCTGAGCCCATCGGCTGTTGATGTGGGGTTACAGGCCAGCTCTCAGCCCTGGGCCACAGCCCCAGCATCACACAGGACGAACATCCGCAGGTCTGAGAGAGCCCCCTCCTCAGAGCTCCCCGCAGCTGATGTGCCGGGGCAGGGGCTCACCCAAAACCAGAGTGACAGGGGTGCAGGGCTAGGAGTGGCCTGGGTGGCAGATCACACACTCACCGAAGCTTCTCAAGGTGGCACAGGGGGTCCAGGAGTCCTTTGCACAGCAGCTGCAGGCCTGCATCCTCCAGCGGGTTGTCACTGAGCTGCAGCTCCCGCAGGGTGGGCATGGAGCGCAGCACATCAGGTAGGACCCCACAGCCAGTCTTGGTCAGACAGCAGTTCTGGAGGCTGGAGCACACCCAAGCTGGCCATCAGCAGGGTCCCCGTCAGCTGTGGCCCCCATGCAAACTGCCCTCAGGAGCCCCCACCGCCCCTGAATCCCAGGGGAGCCCACCAAGCTTGGCCTTGTAAGAGGGCTTGCTCCTCCTCCTCCGGACAGGGCTCTGGGGTCTCCGGGCCAAGGACAGAGAGCAGGAGGGGCTGCTCAGATGCACCGCAAGGCCCAGAGGAAGCTGGGCCATGAGCCCAGGAATAACAAGCAGGGCTGTGGCACAAGCACACCCCCCATGGGGAAACAGGGGCCTAGGACGAGGCAGGAAGGGCCCCCACGCTCCAGGACCTTTGGCTGAAGCCCAGACACGTGCTGCTGCCTCCAGCCCACCTATAGCTGCCTGCAAGCCCCAGTTCCCTGCGCTGTCCAAGTAGGTTCAGACCTGAGCCTGGGGTAAGCACCTGGGACCACGTGGATCACCCAGGCTCACCTGAGCTTCTGGATCTTGCACGTGGGGCTCTGCAGGCCCTGGAGCACCAGGTGCACACCGGCATCACCCAGCTCGTTGGTGCAAAGGCTCAGCTCAGTCAGGGAGGGGTTGGCTTGGAGGGCAGAGCTGATATCCTTGCACCGCACCTCCGTGAGGCCACAGTCGTCCAGCCTGTGGGGGGGACATGTAGTCACTTCACACAGCAGGTCCTGGCCCATTAGTGGAACTCAACATGGAGCGGGGGCAACCAAAACATTTAAAAAATGAAAATTAAAAAAAATAAAAATAAATAAAAAATGAAACGGGGGCTCCTGGCTGGCTCAGAGGAGCATGTGACTCTTGATCTCAGGGTGGTGAGTTCAAGCCCCACACTGGACAAAGAGATTACTTAAAAAAATAAAAAAAAAAAGAAACAGAGAAGTGTATGGATCATCTCACGATGCTTTTGTTGCAGGCCCTGGCACATCCACAGATGCACGTCTGGGGCCCTGTGCTCTCTGAACCTTCCTGTGGGGCACAGTCAGCACATGAAAGCTCCTATCTCTAGAGAAAAACCAAATCAAGGAAGTGCTGGGAAAAGGCCGCAGCACCTCAGAGGGACACAACCAGAGGGGCTCACCAAGCTGGGCAACAATGCTGACTGTAACCCAGGATCAAGGGAAACACCCAACAGATACAGGTGGGAGAAAAGCCACCTCTGGCTCACAAGAGAATGACCACAGATAAATGTGGAAGGAATGAAGAAATTAAAAATCCCAGTTAGGGAAAGGCCCAGTAACAACTGTTCTGGCGAGATCCACTAATGAAAGACAAAATCAGTAGGCAAAGGTTTGAGCAGTCTTAAGGCACCTCACCCAAAATATTTATCAATTACCAAGAGAAAACAGTGACTTTAGAGTGGAGAACAGGTGGTCATGGTGACCTTTAGGGGTGACCCCATGGTGCCATAGCAATCGACAGGATACGATATGCCAGGCAGACACCACAGCATTTCTGTGTATTCCCACGAAAAACCTGTGTCTCAGCCATGACAAGACATCTCCAGAGCCTGTGCAGACTCAAGGGTCCGATGGCCAAGAACAAGGAGGGACAGAGGGACCATCACGGACGGGAGGGGGCCAAGGAGACGCGAAGTCAAATGCCTCAAGCGGGGTCCTGCCCAGACCCGGGCACAGGGAGAGGGCACAAGGGGAAGAGCCGGTGACGTCCGAGTCCAGGCGGCCGTGGGGGGCTCTTCGTCTTACTGTCGAACCCTTCCATAAACCTACAACTATTTCAAGTAAGTAAAAAAGAGAAAAAGTAAGCAGGCACTCGTCTCCTGCTTGTAAGCCCTGGGGAACCTGTGGGTTTGAGAAGCTGAACAACAAAACCCAGTCTTGAGTCCCAGCAGGGGCAGCGGATGGGCAGCGAGCGCCTCCCACTCCCACAGGAAAGAGATAGGCTGCCCACCTGCCCTCAGAGCCTCCAGGCCACCTCCTGCCCACCCAGCCTGAGCCAGGAAAGGTTTACATTTTCAAATAGTGGGAAGAAAGTACAATAACATCTCATGCCATGTGAAAATCATGTAAAATTTACACTGTGAGTCCAGAATCCCAGTGCTGTTGGAGCACACCCACTCGTGGGCGGTGGCCAAAGGCCGCAGACTAACCCCTGCACACACGCACACCAACAGGGCTGTTTTCTACCTGACCACCTCGTACTGCCGGATCAGAGGCAGGAGCTCCGTCCACCGGGCGTCACTCAGCTGCTGACACTGGATGTCGAGATTCATGGTTCGAGGCGAAGTGTTTTCTAGATAGAAGGCAGAGGGAGGAGATACCTTAGCCAAACTCTCTCAACGTCTGATAGGCCAGAGAGCCCGAAGATGGAAAAAAGTCCTAACAGGACCCCCAAGGGTGGGGGGGGGTTGATGTTTCATAAGCCACAGCCTCTCCCTGGCCAGTACCCTTCTGCACCTCAGCCTCCAGGAGCAAAAATGGGGGTAAGCAAGGGGAGGCTGCAGCCATGGGGCTCCCCTGACAAAGGGCACCACAGACCACAGAGCTTGGGGACACAGCTGTGGGAATGGAGGCAGCCTCACCTCTCGGTCTCCTGCACTCAGACTTTATGGGTCCCTCCTACCCAGGAGAGCCAGGACCACTGCTGGCCATCTGAAGCCCCTTCCTCTCACTTGCCTGGGTGACACCACAGTGTAGAGACCCGAGCTAGTGGAGCACAAGGGCCAGCAACCCGAGCAGTGCCACAGCCCCACCTGGCCAGAGAGCCCCCTACCTGGCATTTGAGGAGCATGGACCTGAGCTGCTTGCGAGAACCCTAGGCCTCACCACTCTGAAGCAGCTGGGTGGGAGGACAGGTGCCTGTGGTGAGCTAATAGTTCTTCAAGGGGCACCAGCCACAGGTGCCCTGGAAAGGGCTGAGTAGGTAAAGTGGAGACCCCAGGCCCACTGGCCTGCACTCTGGTGGTGCACTCATGGGCAGCCACTCAGGGTGCCTATGTCCACAATCCCTTTCTGGGGGCTGGGAACTCCAAACAGGCCAGGACACATCCTCTGCCCCACCGTGGGTCAGCCCAGGCCCACAGAGAAATCAGGCAGGATTTTGGCAAATGAGTCTTGCATGGGAGCAGGTCACAGGCCCTGAAACACCTCACCAGGGACAGCACAGAGCTCGAAGAAATGATTAACTGTCTACTGATACCAGAGTTTGGGGTGGGCGCTGACTGCACTGGGATGTTCCTGAGGCCCTGAAGGTGGGGGCCAGCAGAAGAGAGCATCCTGCTGGGATGGAGACAGGGAAGGGAGCGGATTTCATTCAAGTGCAATCAGAAAGCCCAAGGATTCACACCAGGAAATAATGCCATTCAGCTGCCCTTTAGAAAGATCAGGACAAACAGGATGACTCAACCCCCTGTGAGGCTCCTGGTTCTGTGAAACCCCCGTTTCCTAGAAATACTGCCTCGTTTGTGTTCCTGTTCCTGGCCGTGCCTAGCAGGGCCTGGCCTTGCTGAAGAAGTGAGGACTCCCCGCCTGGACCCAGGCCAGTTCAGAGCCTACAGCCAGTCGGGGACAGCCAGTAAAGGCTGTGAGTGCCAGCCAGCAGGCAAGATTCACGTGTGCACATCCTAACTGATGAGCCAGCCGAAAAAAACTGAGGAGAGGAGGTCTCGGTAACTGGCCCTGTCACACAACCAACAAAAGGAGGTACCCAGAGTCGGCCCAGCCCACTGCCCTGGCCACGAGAGCAAAACCCAGACCCGCCCCAGCAGCGCCAAGGGTGTGGTCAGTAAATCCCCTCCTCAAGAATCCTTAGTCATCATCCCGGGAGAACGGGACTGGGAGGGGCGAGTTCAGAAGGACCCTCTCTCACAATCCAGTCTGACATCTGGGGGCTGGGCTCTCCCGAGGTGATGAGGTTAAGAACGAGAACGGAAAACCCGAACGGAGCAACTGAGCGCACCCCTCCCCCACCCCACGGCTTGACCAGGCCCTGGGGGAAACCTCTTGGTTGATCCTTGGGACTAGGGGGACACTTCTTAACCTCTATGGGTCACGGATCCCTTCGAGAACCCCATGAAAACTGATAACGCCCCCCAAAGACGCCGTCTCACTGCTTCTCCCGGAATCAGGACCCCCACCAGTTGGGCTGCTCCGTAGGGTCCCAACAGGACACGTAATGCCTTCACATGTGAGAACGGGCCGCTCCGCAGGGCCGCGCCCAGGGGACAGGAGCAAGGGGGAGGCGCCCTCGGCCCGGGACCACCGGGCCGAACTGGAAGACAGGAGCGCGTCCCGGGCCCACTGAGCCCCAAGCCAGGCGGCCGCGGACGGCGCGGTTACCTGCGCGAGGCGCGGGGGGCGGCCAGGGGTGCCCGGGGGTCCGCGCGAGGCTGCCCAGGGCCGTCACCGTCCTCCGCGCGCACCGGAGGTTGCGCATGTGTCCCAGGCCCTCGCGGGGTTACTCTGCGAGGAAGCGGCCGGTCGGGACTCGCCCGCAGGGACCCCCACCCCCACTCCCCGCGCCGCTTCCCCGCACCCTGGCACTACGCAACTCACCTGCCGCCGAGCCTCCGCTTACGTTGGGGGCAGGAGTGCGGTCCGCCCCACATTCCGGGGCGGGGCCACGCGCTGGGGCGGTCCGCAGGCGGGGCGATGGACCTGGCGGCGGCCCGGAAGCCACGCAGGGGACCGGGGTGGCCAGCCCGCGCCCCCCGCCCCCAGTCCTCCACTAGGGCACATTAGCCGCACTCCCGGTCAGTGTGATTATTGGAGACAGCCGTCTTTGAAGCGGGTGTTCCGCGAGCAAATCTTAACTCAAGCACTTGCATTGCAAAAAAGAGAAAACGCGACTGTCAGGGCTTATACTGCAACACCGGTACTCTGCCCGTTAGCACAACCATTACTGGCAGGGAGAGACCTTCGAGGGTCCCTTGTTATGTGTTGTAAACATGCGGGACAAGACGCCCTGACGGGGGCCTGGGAGCTTTCTGCATCGCTCTGCCGACTAGGTCACCTCCCGGGGCGCGCACAGCTGGAGCGCGTCAGCTCTCCGGTGTGCACGGGCTGAGGTTGTTTACTGACTTGTATGCTCGTTAGAGCAGGGATGCTGGATGCGTTCTCATCACACACGCATTCACTACTTCAACCAAGTCCTACGCAACACCTACGGACTGCCAAGCACTATGCCGGGCGCTTGGGCTACATTGGTGAGCAAAGCAGAGCGAAGGTCTCAGGCCCCACAGAGCTCACAGTCCAATGTGGGGAATGCATGAAATCAAAAAGCAAATTAATAGCATTTAGACTGTGGAGAGTGCAAGGCGGGGGATAACGCAGGATAAAAACGAGTCAGGGCAAAGGTCAGGGAGGTCTCCTCCCCAGCACCAGCAGGCCTCCGGTGGGTGTGGCAGGCTGGGAGGAAGGTGCCTTGGTGTTCAGTTTCACCAACACCGGTGCTCGCTGCAGACCTGGCATAATCTTTGTGACCACCAGAGGGCAGCACAGTATGGGTGGGGGATGAGGGGGCTGGGGGTGGAGTAGGTTCTTTGGGGAAATTAAATGAGGGTTATTCAATTTGGGGAGAATATTTGGCTGGGCCAGTCCTTGCTTGGGTGGCTTGCTGGGCACCAATGGACAAAGGGGTCTGGGCCACCAGCACGGGGTCAAGGGTCCCAAAGAACCCAGTGGATTGAGAGACATGGGCCAAGGCAGAGGCAACCGCCCCTCCACAAGCTCCCTCAGAGCAGGTCAAGTGGTCAAGTTGACAAGTCATCAAGTGAAGGCAGTGAGCAGCTCTTCCACCTTGATGCAGGAAAATGAGGGTGGAGCTGGGTTTCTGGCAGAAGCTACTGAAGCCTGAGGGTGGTTGAGAATGAAGCAGAGGGGTGAGGGTGGAGAGCTCCAACCAACTTTCACATTTTGTCTTCTTCAGGTAAACACCCAGAAACAGAATTGCTGGATTGTAGCTCCATACCGTTTTCCACCATGGCTGCACCAATTTTCCTCCACACCAACAGTGCATAAGGGTTCCCTTTGCTCCACATCCACACCAACACGTGTTGTTTGTCGAGTTGATTTTAGCCATCCTGACAGATGTGAGGTGATGACTCATTGTGGTTTTGATTTGTATTTCCCTGATTATGAGTGATGATTAGCATCTTTTCAGGTGTCTGTTAGACATCCGTATGCCTTTGGAGAAATATCTGTTCAGGTCCTTTGCCCATTTTTTTTCAACTTTTAAAAGATTTATTTATTTAGAGAAAGTGAACACGAGCACGGGGCTGGGGGTGGGGCAGAGAGAATCTCAAGCAGACTCCACAACGAATGCAGAGCCTGATGTGGAGCTCAATCCCACAACTTAACCGATTCACCACCCAGGCAACCCTCCTCTACCCATTTTTAATCAGATTCCTTGTTTTGGGTTTTGTGGGGGTTTTTTTGGTGTTGTATTGTATGAGTTCCTTATATATTTCAGATATTAACCCCTTATTAGGTATGTCATTTGCAAGTATCTTCTCCCATTCCATAGGTTGCCCTCTCATTTTGTTGATGGCTTCCTTTGCTGTAAAACATGATTTTTACCACATGAGCAGTATGTGCTCTTTATGGAAAAACCAGAAGAGGGGCGCCTAGGTGGCTCAGTCGTTAAGCGCCTGCCTTCAGCTCAGGTCATGATCCCAGGGTCCTGGGATCGAGCCCCGCATCGGGCTCCCTGCTCCACGGCAGGCCTGCTTCTCCCTCTCCCACTCCCCCTGCTTGTGTTCCCTCTCTCGCTCTGTCAAATAAATAAAATCTTCAAAAAAAAAAAAAAAAACCCCAGAAGATAGAAATAAAACGGAAAGCCCTAGCGTGCCCACCTTCCACACAGCTCTGACATCCATGTGTGCGCTCCTACTCCTCTGTACGCACAATACACATTTTTTTAAAAAATAAGAAATATTAGGAATGGTAGGCAGGATAATCAAGATGATTATGTCTGAATCCCTACCTTACATGGCAAAGGGGTCTTTGCAGATGTAACTAAGTCAAAGGTTTTGAGATGGGGAGATTTTCCTGGATTACTTGGGTAGGCCCAAAGTAGTCATGAGGATCCTTACAGAAGCGAGGCAAAAGGGTCAAAATCAGAGATGGGACAATGGAAGCAGAGGTTTGAGTGGCTGGGCTTTGAAGATGGAGGAAGGCAATCTCCACAAGCTGGAAAAGGCTAAGAAGCAGATTCTCCCCTTCGAAACTCTGGAAGGAACCAGGCCTATGGATACTTTAACTCCCTAATGCCCACTTCCCACTTCTGATCTCCAGAGAACTGTAAAATAAGAAATCTGTGACAACGTGTTACAACGGCAGAAGGAAACTAATGCATTATGAGCTGCTGTATTTTTCACCTAAGAATAGTTAGGTATACAATGTATACATGAATATACAGGTACACTAATCAATATGTAACAGTCTAACTTTGTAAACATTTATGTGTTTTTAAAGATTTTATTTGACACCGAGCGCACAAGCAGGTGGAGCAGCAGAGGGAGAGGGACAAGCAGACTCCCCGTTGAGCGGGGAGCCCGATGCAGGACTCGATCCCAGGACCCTGAAATCATGACCCGAGCTGAAATCAAGAGTCAAATGCTTAACCCACTGAGCCACCCAGGCGCCCCACACAATCTAACTTTTAATGGCCACATCGTGCAACTGTCTCAACATAGCCAGTTTACGCAATCAATTTCTATAGATCGACACTTAGACTGCTTTCAGATTTTTCAGGCTTTACAGCATATTCTCCCACGTGATTATCTTCCTGGTACACCACCCAACAGGGGGGCTTGCCTGGTTCTGAAGTCCTTCCAAGACACTGTCCACCTGCCGACCGGAAACGCTGCAAAGTCCACCGGCTTTGCCCACATTCCCGTGTCCCCATACCTGCGAGCCAGTTATGCCAGCCCAATAATGCAAAGTGCCTGGGCTCCCCTTTTAAATTTCAGCCAAGTCCCCCCCAAGGTGCTGTCCCATTTACGTTTTTGTTATCCCCACGTGATTTGTCCATCCAGTTCTCCCAGGGTTCTCGGGTGCCCAGACAGGGGCAGAGCTGCCGGGAGTGGAGATGCCATGCCCAAGGCCCAGCATCCTGTGCGGTGACCCGGGAAAGTCCTCTCTGCCAGGGCTGTCCTCCCGGGGTGGGGGGGGGCTGTTTTTTGGGGAATAACGGTCGAGGGTTACTCAGCTTGGGGTAAAATGTCGGCTTAGCCAGCCCTTGCTGTGTACTTGCTGGGCGCCAAAAGACCAGGGGATCAGATCGAACCTCGAGAAGGTATGGGGACAACCACCAAGACGCAGACCATGCAGGCGAGCACCTAGGGCCCCAGCGCACGGACTCCCAGCATGCCCCGGGAAGCAGGCCGGCGGCAGGTGCGCACGCGCGGGGGCGCATTTGGACGCTCTGACGTCACCGGCACGCGCCGACCTCCCGCCCTGGCGCGCTTCCCCCCACCCCCGCCACTCCTCTTCCTTCTGTACCCCTCTCCCCCTGCTCCTGCACCCCGCTCTCCAGTGTCGTTTCAAGAGCGCGCATTTATCCCGGGCAGCATGGCCGCAGGAGCGCCCGGCGCGCGTCCACAGGCGGGCGCCGGTAAGAGCAGACCCCAGGCACGGACCGCAGAAGTTACTGACCTCCAGACGACGGACTGGGAGAGGGAGGGCCCACGCCCGACGGGGGCGGGGCCTGGCGGGGCGCGGTCTTGCTGCCGCGTCGGGACGGGCGGTGGAGCGGGGCCTGGGCGTCGGGGGCGGGGCCTCGCGTGGGGCTGACGCAGGCTCTGCGGGCGGGGCCTGCGTGTTATGGGCGGGGCCTCGCGTCGGGGGCGGGGCCTCGCATGGGGCCGACGCGGGCTCTGCTTGGCGGGACGTGGCCGCGGGGCGGAGCGGTGGTCCCGGCGCGGCCCTCCGGGTGTCCCGCCTGGCAGGTGTGCCTCGGACGTCCGGCCCAGGCGGTGACATTAACGTGACGGGGCTGGGGGCTCGGTTCGGCGACTTGGGGCAAAGTCTGGGGCTGAACATTCTGCACAGCGGTACTCTGCGGAGCACCAACTACTTGGTAGACTGGGCGGTATACAGGTGGGTCGACACAAAGGTGATTTTGTAACAAAGGGCTACTCATTAAGGCAACGTTCGTAATCAATGGGCAGTGGTTCATTTATCTATTATTGCCAAAAACTTAATAATTCTGTGTCTCACTAAATGCATTCATTCAATAAATATTTCTTGTGTAACCCCTTTGTGCCCGGCTGTGTCGTAGGTGCTGAGGATTCAACACTGAGCCTAACAGGCAGAAATCCCTGGTGGGGGGAAGCATGGAAGGGGGAGGCCGGGCCTGGGAGGGGGGACCCTGAGTTGAGGGGCGTGGCCCGTGCCCACTGAGTGAGCAAGTGGTGCTCAGCCGAGGATGTGAAATGGAAAGCTGGGAGTTTTACTGAGGAGGGGAAGAAAGGTCCGGAAGGAGCAGTAAGGAGCAAGGTACCTGTCCTCCAGGAGCGCCAGTTCCTGCTGCAGCAAAAGGGATGGGAGGGTGCTTCAGAAAAAACTGGCTTTTCCTGAGAACTTACTTCTTCAA